TAGGATATAGGAGTCTGTTAATATCTGTACTTATCTCCTGTAACTACTTGTAATCTGTGCCCTAGTTGCATCCATATAAATACATCCCTAGGATACCATGTTGCATGCGCCGATCCAATCTATTTCCTCTCTGTTTCACACATTATGTTATCAGGTTTGCCATCAAATTTACAGAAATTTAAAAACAATAAGTAAAATCCAATGTATGACATCTCAACCTGTTATGATCATTTAAAATATGAGTGGCATGTGTGAAACTTCGCTTACATGAATGCCCTACTATCCTGTACACCCCAGCTCACCACTTGTCCTACCACTTAAATAGTTCCATTAAGTACCACAATATTAAAGTACACAAACTTGTAACGCATTATCAGTTCACAAGGCAATATGAAAACCATTTTATCACTGGTACAAATTTCAAACAATAGTGGCTATTGTTCGAACAGAAGAGAGGCTTGTCCAACCAGCAATTCATTTAGCATGGCAGTTAAAGTAACCGTGTTATTGTGCATAAATACCTTCAGTTGGTTCAATAAGCTCTGACGGACGAGGGCAATTTGGAGGTTTAGGTACCTTAAACGAAAACTGAGGTAAATGTAAATCGGCAGCATAGTCTGGGTTCTCTTCAAGATACCTATCAAAGTATAACATATGAACAATAAGATAAGCATCTAGACAGAGTGAAGCACATGGAGAAGTTCACAACTTCACATAGTATACGCATGTATTCTGTGTTGTTTCCAACGTTCAAATTGCAAGAACAGGCGAGATTTCTGAAAATAAGCCCCGACAAAGCTAAGCATGAATGATGGTTGTGTGATCATTGAGCCATTGAGGTAGTGAAAGTACAATAATAACACTTTGTAACAATTATGACAATAATAGTGGATACCAGTCAGATGCGGTTATCAACATGCTAGATGAATGAAAAACTGCATATGAGCATTATAATATGCTTAAGAAAGTAACAATATTGAAGAGAACTTGACCAAACAAAAGTTAGCTTACCTGCCGACCTCTTTCTTGGATCTTATTTTTATGCCTGCGGAAGAGATATAGTACCTGAAAGGATGTATAAGTGTCACGAAATAGTCATACAATACATACACGGACAGGCAAGCACATCCTTTTATATAGGTGTGTAAGGTGTGTAACCACAGGAATGAATGGTTAACCATTGATCAAATATGAACAGCATTAAGTTCCTAAACCATAAATGAGCATTCTGAGCTCTCAAAAGTTACGACCCAGGGACGTTAGAAAACAACTGCAACATCATTTGCTCAGAAATAAATACAAAAAGCTAGAAAAAAATTAACTACGATGTTGTGCAAAACAATTAATACTCACACATCAGCGAATCCCGTGCTCTGTTCATTCCTTAGAGTAATATTCCTTTCCCACCCAAGAGGGGTCTGAGGGATGCATGGGATATCAATTGCCCATGCCATGCCATTATCCTCAGATATATCAGTTGGATCATGGCATGTAAGTTGTGGCTTCCACCCATGGACATATTTGCAAGAAAAAGGAACTTGTATAATATTCTCTCGGATTTGCTCATATTTCAGTTTGGATGGTACAACTCTCCATTTCTGGCAAATACTACATTGCACAGAATATGTACTGATAATGAATTTTCTTTTTTTAGACAGCACATGTAAGTTGTTTTCTCCCTGGACATTCTTGTAAGGAAAACTTGATATGACGCACTTCCAGAGAAATGATGGTCACTTGAGGCTGCCGTCGTGCGTGTTACCTGAGCGTCTCTTTATCGCCGATATGATATTTTTCCCGATTATTAACAGAATCAGGGGAGAGGAAGGAGTGCCTTCAGATTGTAGTGAACGGCAAATTTTAGGAGTTACAGCGTAACAGCTGAACTCGGTCGATGGACGATAGAGCAATCCTGCATATGATTGAACCAGAACAAAAAAAACTTACTTTGCTAGCTGCTTTCTCTTCACCTTTTGATCTCAAGCAAAACGAGAATCATGAATTTAATAATATATGGACTACACACATACATCAATTCCTCTCTCCAGCGATCATGAATTCATGATACATCTAGTCAATTGCAGAGTTCTTACTGCTAATGATCATGTTCATCAATTCCTCTATCCAGCGATCGATCATGAATTCATAACCGACAACTACTAGAGAGAGCAAAAGAGAAAACTATTTCCCGAAGAACTATAACTAATCGTAAACTGGTGGGCGTCCTTCATCGACCTTCACGATCATCCCGCGGCGCAGCTCCGACGCAAACTCTGGGTCGTGCTCCTCGTAGAATCGGCACAGCGCGTCCATCGGGATCCCTTTGCCGACCCTCTTCGCCTTCTTGCAACAATCATCGCCGTGGTCAGTCCGCTCCGGCGGTGGTGGTCTCTTGGAACTGGCCGGCCGTGCAGCGTCAGCGGCCGGGTGCGCCTGCGGTGGAGTGTGACGGGGCTCGCGGACGTCCCATGATGGCACTCGTGCGACACGGCTGGGTTTGCTGTTGATGGCGGGGTACTCGACGAGGTAGGACTCGGTGCCGGCCGAGGCGGAGAGTACCTTGGCGCGGAGGTAGATCACCAGCTGCCTGTTGCCGGAGAAGACGACGTTCGAGAATAACCTGTTGCGCACCTCGACAGCATCGCCGCACGCGAATCGCAGTTGTCGGCGCGCCGCATCCACGGTGGACTTTTGAAGAACCTTCGCAGGCAAGCGGGGCGCGCTGTTCGACTTCTTGGCCGCTGCATCCACCCGAGGAACCTTCTTCGGCGAGTGGGGCGCGCCACTAGTTCTCTTGGCCGCTGTCATCGCCGCAACTTTGCTTCTCTTGGGTGCCACTTTCGAGGCGACGGCGGGCGATGGCAGGACGACGGCGCGCGGCGGCAGCGGCATTGCCCTAGATGGTGTTGCAGTCTTCTCTCTCACGATTGGACTCGGACGATTCCAAGCTGGATGGGGGAAGCAAATTAACGCGATCACAAGATTGCATGTCGAAGCTATATATTGGCGTCACTCCATATCCGAATTCAGCTCCAGTTTGCATTTTTTGACACTCCATGTCCGAATTCAGCTCCAAATTGGCTTTTTTTTTGAGACAAACTCCAAACCAGCCAACAAAGCGAGTTTCTTATTTTCTCCTTGCAGGCCGAGGCCTGCGGTCGGCAATACTGGGCCGGTGAAGCTATCTATTCGACTGTAAAAAAACCAATTGAGAGAGAATATTCGGCTGTAAGTGGGTGCATGAGTTACGAATCATCTATATTTGGACAGAGCTACATGCAAAAAAAAGTTTAGAAAGAGCTTCTAAAAGAAAGTAAAACAAATAATTTGTTGAAGAAAAATATTTCATAATTTCATACAAGTTGGTTTTGGTAGCAACATATTATCATATAGAAATAATAGTCAATGGTCATAATTTGGAGACTATATATACATGTTAAAAAAAATAAGCGTCGTGTTTCTCTAATGATGTTTTTCAACCGAGGTAAGTAAACAAGACGATGAAATACCACATGTAAGATTTTATCTCGGATGCATGCCAGTGTGAACATTTTTCCCGTGTTTACCTTAACAAGTTGCTTTCTTTTTATTCCATTCAGTAAGATCCGACTAGAGACATATTTTTCCTGTGGTCCACATCTTAACATTGCTCTAGTCCTTTCAATTACTAAGCTCCCTAGGGATAGAAGGCCTATGAGAACTCCAATCGATCAGGGACCATGTGATCATTATCTGGGTTTTGTTTTGTGAAAAACACTAAACCCCTAGAAGGCTCCCGTCATTATGTCAAGAGAAAGTATAAAATGAGCAAATGATCCGTAGGATTTTCAATAAGTTTTCGAGAACTTCAGCCATTAGAAATAATTGGTACAAGACTTGCCACCCAAAGAGGCTCTTAACCAGAGGTCGCGGTGTGACATTTTGTCATGTCAGGCTAATAAAGGTGGCAGCCCAGCTGAAATTTTGGCATGCCAGTTTGTAACTCTTTGATCATAGAATGGGGCTCACTCTTTCCTTGGAATGCATTTCTATTTTTCTAGTTCTATCACGCCTTGTTTGTTTTTCTTTTGAGATGCAGATCAATATGATGCATAGTTTAATGGCTTTTGTCATTTGTATGTTTGAACTTAAAAAGGTCTAAAATGCTATGGGCTTGCGCATTCATGCAATTCGTCGCATAGACGTAGGTGATGTTTGGTTCTCTAGTCCTAAGACTTTTTCTAGTCCCAACTGAAAAGTCCGTAGTCCCTAAAAAGTCTCTCCTTGTTTGTTTTCAGAGACTAAAAGTCCCTAATCCCTTCCTAGAGGTTATTAAATGACCATGTTGCCCCTAGTATATAGAAAAATAACAATCAAACAACACCATGGGATGGCAGGCCAATGGGTGCATGGAGAGGCATTGTTGGAAAAATCCCAAAAAGTCTCAAAAAGACTCTCCTTAAGAGTCTTCTTCATTTAGTCCCAAATGCATAGTTTAGTCCCTAAAAAGTCCCTCCCGCTTGATAAAAAAGTCTTTAAGAGAGACTTTTTCTAATCCCTACACAAAAAAAGTCCCTGGAAACAAACACCCCCGTAAAATAGACAAATGTATATAATCTGATCTTTGGTCATAGAATGGGGATGGCAGAAACTTCTATTACCTAAGCTCTGTCCCAATACCCATTGATCTCGATAAAAACGATTGTACCTTATACAGGAGATTATGATGTGCAACACGCATAAACTTAAAGTTATAGGCATTCACAGCACACGAACAGAGTGAGGTAAAAGCAATGTGGCAGTTTCAATAACTTTCTGCAACAACGTTCATCTGTTGATGTCGATGTCCCAATAACTTTCTCAGTTCCAGCCAAGCTGGAGCAAACTACGGCATAAAGGGAGCGACCTTAGCTAAGGTAGGACACATACAGTAAGATGATACAGCAAAATAACACATTTCAAGTCTGACGTTTGAACATCACTTATAGAGCATTTTCATTTTCCTTTCTTTCTGGAGAGCATCACTGGTTTAGTTTTCTCTTTTTGGAGAGCATCACTGATACTTGTAGAGCTAGTGTCACTGGTATGTGAGTTACAGGATTGGCTTCTCCATGAGGGACCGGCATGTAGTTGTGCACGGGATCCTCGTGAACCGGAGGTGGCACTGAAAATAAGAGCATGCCATCAGATAAATAACAAATCATGTGTATCAAATTATCAGATGGTTGCACAGACACAAAGAGTGAATAGAACGCCATTAATCACTTGAGCCAGAAGAGAAGACAAGCAAGCTAATCACATCAAGACGTCGTCTGTTGCGCAAGGGTCATTGTATGTAAGTATACTAATAGATGGAAACAGCAGACATCATGAACCACCAATGAACCCCACACAGTGATTCTAAATTTCCAACAGCTGCTCTAAGATCCCTAAATCGCTAGCTAGTTGCAAGAACTTAATCTAGGAGTGGTGCTATAATCAACACGGGTACTAGAAGTCACCAACCTGGCTGTCTGTGTTATGCAACTATATATAGGCAACATGCATTAACAGAACTCTCATATAGTTCATATTCATGTAAAGGGGATATAATCCATCAGCCACTAGTGCGTGCAATGGTCTACGTTATGTTATCAGGTTTGTCATCCAATTTACAGAAATTTAAAAACAATAAAGTAGAATCCAATTTATGACATCTCAACCTGTTATGATCATTTAAAATATGAGTAGCATGTGTGAAACTTCGCTTACATGAATGCCCTACTATCCTGTACACCCCAGCTGACCACTTGTCCTACCACTTAAATAGTTCCATTAAGTACGACAATATTAAAGTACACAAACTTGTAACGCATTCTCAGTTGACAAGGCAATCTGAAAACCATTTTATCACTGATACAAATTTCAAGTAATAGTGGCTATTGTTCAAACAGAAGAGAAAGGCTTGTCCAACCAGCAATTCATTTAGCATGCCAGTTAAAGTAACCGTGATAAAAATTGTGCATAAATACCTTCAGTTGGTTCAATAAGCTCTGACTGACGAGGGCAATTTGGAGGTTTAGGTACCTTGAACGAAAACTGAGATAAATGTAAATCGGCAGCATAGTCTGGGTTGTCTTCAAGATACCTATCAAAGTATAACATATGAAGAATAAGATAAACATCTAGACAGAGTGAACCACATGAAGATCACAACTTTACATAGTATACACATGTATTCTGTGTTGTTTCGAACGTTCAAATTGCAAGAACAGATGAGATTTCTGAAAATAAGCCCCAACAAAGCTAAGCCTGAATGCTGGTTGTGTGATCATTGAGCCATTGAGGTAGTGAAAGTACAATAATAACACTTTGTAACAATTATGACAATAATAGTGGATACCAGTCAGATGCGGTTATCAACATGCTAGATGAATGAAAAACTGCATATGAGCATTATAATATGCTTAAGAAAGTAACTATATTGAAGAGAAGTTGACCAAACAAAAGTTAGCTTACCTTTCGACCTCTTTCTTGGATCTTATTTTTATGCCTGCGGGAGAGATATAGTACCTGAAAGGATGTATAAGTGTCACGAAATAGTCATACAATGCATACACAGAAAGGCAAGCACATCCTTTTATATAGGTGTGTAAGGTGTGTAACCACAGGAATGAATGGTTAACCATTGATCAAATATGAACAGCATTAAGTTCCTAAACCATAAATGAGCATTCTGAGCTCTCAAGAGTTACGACCCAGGGATGTTAGAAAACAACTGCAACATCATTTTCTCAGAAATAAATACAAAAGGCTAGAAAACAAATTAACTACGATGTTGTGCAAAACAAGTAATACTCACACATCAGCGAATCTCGTGCTCTGTTCATTCCTTAGAGTATATATTCCTTTCCCACCCAAGAGGGGTCTGAGGGATGCATGGGATAGCAATTTCCCATGCCATGCCATTATCCTCAGATATATCAGTTGGATCATGGCATGTAACTTGTGGCTTCCACCCATGGACATATTTGCAAGAAAAAGGAACTTGTATAATATTCTCTCGGATTTGCTCATATTTCAGTTTGGATGGTACAACTCTCCATTTCTGGCAAGTACTACATTGCACAGAATATGTACTGATAATGAATTTTCTTTTTTTAGACAGCACAGGTAAGTTGTTTTCTCCCTGGACATTCTTGTAAGGAACAATTTGATATGATGCATTTCCAGAGGAGTTTTCAGTGTCACTGTCATCCCATTGGTCCACAACCTTGTCAGCTAACATATCTTGGCTCTTGATATGAGATAATGAACTCTCATCAGGGTTGGGCACAGGATTAGCCGGCCTGGACCCCATAGTTTTTAGTTCCCTGTTGGAGGTAATTGCAAAAGTTTCAGACTGGGAAAGGCAAAATGCTTGATAGAGAAACAAAAGAAACGTGAACGTAAGATTAAAACAGAAGGGATACACCACCATGAACATGAAAAGAGGGTGAGGACAAAGGCTACTTATAGTAAATCTTTGATTTCTCAGGCTAGATATCAAGATATCGCTGGCATTAGAGCAGTATGGTTCTCCCATAAATCAGGTTCACTATGGTATGCCATAAATCTATTAACATTTTGAACAGCTTAATTAGGTAACTAGGGCTTACGTAATGTTTTAGATCCCTAGGCTAGATTCAAAGATTCTGTTACTAACTCATCACTAGTTGGGGCATCACCAATCCAGTTCACAAAAGTAAGGACATAACTCGCAAATATATACTCCCTCCGTCCGAAAATACTTGTCATTGAGATGGATGTATCTAGATGTATTTTAGTTTTAGATACATCCATTTTCATCCATTTTGATGACAAGTATTTCCGGACGGAGGGAGTATTTAACAGCTTGAGCAAACATAACGCTCCAGAACCCTAGGCTAGACACTGACCGAGATGCAATCAGCATTAGAAACATAACCTAATGTAGCAATAGTAAATCGAATGTACCGATTGCAATTGCAGATATCCCTAAAATAAATCTACTATTCCACATGTAAAATTGCTGAATCTACCACGTGTAAAATCTCTGAAAACGAACGCCTTAGCGATATGTTCTCCCAAAGCCCTAGCATGGTAATCTATCTAAACCTAAATTATTTTGAAGGAACTATCTAATCATGCATTCATGAGCAAAAGGAGAGTCGGGGTGGAAGGCGAGGTATACATACACGAAGCGCCTCCAATGGCGGCTTCTTGGTGGCCAGATTGGCTCGTCGGGGTCCTCGGCCTTCTCCGCGGGCGGTTTAGACGCACGGAGGAGCGCCGCCTCGCGGAGTCGGCGGGCTTCGCAGGAGGCGGCCAGCCTCCGGAAGCACCCGGCGCTGAGAGGATCGCGGCGCGAGGAGATGCTCGGCGGCGGTCGGGGCGGGGAAGGGGAGCCGGGCGCCCCACTCTCCGCCTCATCGTCCGCCTGGGTGGCGGCGGCGCCGCCGTCCCACTGCGCGTCGGGGCTCGTGCCGACGGACTCAGTGGTAAGCGAATTGAAGGAGGGGTCGGCTCCAAGGCTCTCTTCCTCGTGTCCCTGCGTTTGCGTCTGGGGACTGGTTGTCACGGGTTCAGTGGGGTCAGAAACGAAGGGATCCATTCCTGACGATGGTGGGCCGCTACCTGTAGGGGAGAGAGGAGGGTTTCGTGGGAGGCGAGAGAGAAGAGTGGGTGAGAATGGGGTTTCTGTTTTGAATCTCAACTCTTTTTTATATTGTTTTGTAATTTGAACACGTCTAGATGTGAACGCGGATAATTTTGATATATTTGGAAATCAATAAAGGGTATCCATGATTTATAGTATTGTATAAAAAACTGCTTGACATCATAGCAAAAAATTAAAAACATACTTAAATAATGGAGACACATGGCACTTGAGCGGCGTGGGCAATCAAATCCACATGGCAGATGATGTCTAATACTCCCCCTGTCTTTGTGTAAACCTGTTTTTAGAAGTAAAAATCCAGCGGAAAACCCGGAACCCTCAATAGGCGATAGGGTTTTTGCGTGGACTTGACGGCGCCCGCTGATCTCATCGGCGGGGCGAGACATCACCGTCGGGAGAAGATGGCTTCGTCATCGGCGAACGGTGGGCAAGGCACTGCCGGACCCTTGTCACCTAACTCGGCGAGGGCGCGGCTAGCAGAGGCCTTGGGCAAGTTGTGTATCACAAGAGGAAGAGGCAACATCATTGGTGATCGATGATCAGGAAGAGGGCGACCAGCAGAAGTATATGTTGGCGGGGAAGGTCCTGGATCGCAATATTCTCCATATCCAGACCATCTCCAACGCACTCCGTCCCGCTTGGGGAAACCCTAAAGGACTTGTGTTCCCATATGTTGGAACTAACATGTTTGTGGCTGAGTTTGCTACCCAGCGAGATCTTGATCGCGTGTGGAGAGGTTCTCCATGCATGTTAGCAAACACGTCGTGATTTTGTCTGAATTTGAGGAGTGCATGCGTCCATCTGAATTAATGTTTGATCGCTTACAAGTCTGGGGCAGAGTGGTGAATTTGCCTTTTAATCTTCGGAATGACTCATGTGGATCAGCGATTGCAAAGCAGATAGATCAGCAGGCGACTCAAGTGCAGTTTAACGATGCGGGGGGCTTCCTGAGAACTCGTGTGATGCTCAATGTGAGTAAGCCTTTGCGCACCTTGATTTTGATTGAATCGGACGGGCATAAAAGCACAGATGTGTATGATATACATGTTGGGGAACGCAGTATTTCAAAAAAAATCCTACGATCACGCAAGATCTATCTAGGAGATGCACAGCAACGAGAGGGGAGAGTGTATCCACGTACCATCATAGACCGAAAGCGGAAGCATTTAGTAACGCGGTTGATCTAGTCGAACGTCTTCACGATCCAATCGATCCAAGCACCGAACGTACGGCACCTCCGTATTCCGCACATGTTCAGCACGATGACGTCCCTCGAGCTCTTGATCTAGTTGAGGACGAGGGAGAGTTCCTTCAGCACGGCAGCGTGGTGATGGTGATGATGAAGTTACCGGCGCATCTGATGAAGGTTTGAAATCAGGTTTCAACTCCTCTAACACACTAGAATGTGACCTAGTGGTAGGGCCTCTCCTAACTGGCAGCTTCTGCCTCTTTTTTGCAGGTTCTTTCATGGGTGGTTCTTGTCCTACAACAGCATTCACATCCTCTTCCTCCATTCCAAACAAATCTTCAACCTCAATGTCACTCTCATAATGTAGTTGTTCCTCTTCTGAATCTTCATCTTCATCCTCTGCTAGCCTCTTTCCATCTATTATCTCTATGTCTTCAGCAGTCATATACTTCTCCATGCAGAAATGGTTGTTATCACTGTCATATGCACCCTCAGGTCATCAATACTCTTATATCCCTCCTTTGCCTCTTCTTCCACCACATCTTTGAGTTTCTTCTTACTAATATTTCTGCTCTCTTGTGTGCACATAGCACTATGTTGTATTGCACTATTGTTGTTGCACTGACTCTAAAAAGCAATACCTTGATCATCAACAACAAGCGCAAAAGGCTCACCGAGATCATACATAACAGGTGGTTCATATAAAATTGTGGATAATTGTTCTTCTCTGTGAGATACAGTACTAACAGAACTAAACTATCCTCATACTGCTTCTTAAGTTGCTGCAATTTGATGTTTGTGTCTATCAATTCTATGACATGCTCTCTCTGCTCTCGTATGCATGTATTCTTCATGTGGCACAGTTCATCAGAGAAATTAAATCCTTGTGTTTGCATCAGTGCATACATATTCAGAAATGTGGCATCTGAGTTGCATATCTTTCTATCCATATTATGTTAAGCATCAAAATGAATCCTAACATCCCAAACAACATCATCCATTTCTACAAGTGACATCAAAATTGCACATTTTAAGTAAACCCTAACCCTAGCCCCCAATCATGGCAAAAAATGAAGACAAAAAAGAAGAGAGGAGATGACTTACATCACAAAACCCAATCCATGGGGTCCAGTGATGGCTTGTGGTAGGGTTTGGCCACCCAAATCTCAGCCAGCCGCAACCGCTGATCCATGGAAAGCGGGGCCTCCATGCCCTTGTCGTCGTCGTTGTAGTAAGATGAAGAATTCGAGCCGCCGCCATCGGTTCCTCCATGCCCATCGCTCCCAAGGCCAAGAAGGTTTCCGTAGACGTCCACACCTCAACCACTGCTACAGCCACTAGCACCACCACCCGAAGTCGCCATCGCTAGAGAGCCGCGCGAGCAGAGGGAGAGGAGAGAACTATGGTTTGTCCTGTTCGAACCGGATCGAGCGAGCCAGGACTGACCAAGCACACGTCGGTTGGCCAGCGTGTCACCTGACAGGTGCGGTCGGGAGGTCAGATACGACGTCAATACTATATTATACGATGCTTAGGCCATTTTGCAACGAGTTGCCCCATACTTGATACTGACATGCAAAAAAAAGAATAGTGGTACTAGATCGTTACACCTGCCCGAAGTGTGGTACTTCCGTGAAATTAACTCACCATTAATTGATTATGAAATATTTATAAATCTGGAAAAGACTTGTATATTGTGCAAGTAAAATTTTGAGATAAAGTCTGCAGACATCATTTCGACGTTTTAAATCCAAATATTGATAAAGATACTAGTATTTTTTTTTCATGTGTCCTTGTTAAATAAGATATATACATAATGGGCGGGATGGTTAGAAGCAATTATACATATGAGTATATGTATGTTGTGATCAATTGATAATTTGGTTCAACTAGGGCAATGTTGGGATGTGTTGCATAAGTAAATTTAAGAAATATTTTTTCAGCTGCCAATGGAAACATTTAGTATTTTAAATCATATATCTTTCAATAGAATAACAAATGTAAGAATTTTTAAAGTAAACACGGGAAACAAATCCACACTAGCAGGTACCCGAGATAATATTTTTATATCATACATGTGGTCTTTCATCCTCTCATTTACTTTACTTCAATAAAAATGAACATGATGTTTAAAACATGCAATTAGTCTCCAAAAATCGACCATGACCAATATTTTCACATGATTATGTGGCTACAAAAACAAATTGTGCGGAATGATGACATATTTTTGTTACAAGTTTTATTATTTAACTTTCTTTTGGCAGCTCTTTATAGTAATATGTTTATATATTCACATTCAGAACATAGGGTTCATTTAAGTCTATTGTATAAGTGCACACGTTTCTATGGCATCGCCTATTTTGAAAGGAAATGCTATTGTGTTTTCAAAAAAAGGGAAATTCTATTCTGAACATATTTTCTTTCTTTTACTCTTTCACTAGTATACCCACCCCTGACGGCCCAATAGGCCTAG